AATTTCTAAAATAATTCGAGAAATAGCAGGATACATTAAAGAAATTGTGATATATTTAGCCCCACTAAGTAATGCTGTCACTTCTTCAAAACCTTCTAATATATCAACAAGTTTACTTAATAATTCCCATTCATTATTAGAGAGCATTATTCGTTCTAACTTTTCACCATCTTTTCTAATATCAGCATTAAGATCAGATTTTAAACGACCTGGAAGAAAAATTATTGCGCGTTTTAACTTTAATAGTCGTTTCCAAGCATAGAATGATGAATTCCATCTTGTTGACACATCTCCAATTACTGACCAAGTTTTTAAATATCCAATTTCTTGTTGAGCTACATTAAGTCTTTCCATTTGCTTAGGTGATACATTAAAAAAATCAATTAAACGTTTTACACGTAAAACAAGTATTTTGATAATATCTAATCCTTTACCAATTGTTAATTGTAAAGTATGGGCAGCACATGGCAAACGATCTATAGTATTCATTAATCGAGCAGCTTTTTTTATATTTGAGCCATTATCTGTTGTAAGTGCAATTATTTTTTTTTCTATTTTCCATTTTTCAAAAATCTCCATTAAAATTTGTGCAATAATTTCACCAGTATGAGGATATAAAACATGTTGCAATTCTAAAAGTGCTTCTTTAGGTTGCCAATCCAATGAAATCCAAGAGCATGTTACGCCTATATATCCATGTTTTGCTCGACTTGTCCAAAAATCTGTAGTTATAGAAGCAGCAACACAATCACTTATTAATAATTCAACAAGTTGTGTACAACTCCATGCATAAGCACTACCAATCATGGTCTTAATTGTTTTATCACAAGGAATGACAAAATTCTTATCAAGAGAAGATAATAAACGATGAAAACTTTTACAGTTTAATATATTAAATGCTTGGTTATTATCTAAGATAAATTCTACTAAAAAATGACGCGACTCCTCATATTCATCTTCCGATTTTAATCGTTGATTTTTAATTGCAACTCGTATATCTGATTGATTTGATAATTCCTTCTTGAAAAATTAAAAATATGTATTATTATTATAATAAAATTAATTATAATTAACTTGTTATTTTTTAAAAAAATATATACTTTTTTTTTCAACTGGTCTAAACACCCTGTGAACACGAGCAAGGTGGTTAATTAAATTTGTTGTTGTAGAACCATCATTATAATAAGCTCCACATTCTTTACTATCAGACATAATAACAGCACATGTAGATGTAACTAAGTCTTTCGAACGACGAAAATATCCCCATACAAAACTCCCTTTTGGTATCTCATTTTCAGAAATTCCACTTGTAATAATAATATTATTATTACTTCTTATACTTGTTTCATTGTTTATTTTTCTAACCAATTCTTGTTCATTATCTTGTTGTTTAGCATTTTGTCTTACTTTGGCTGTTACTTTTGTTCGTTTTCTTATTTTTTTTTGATTTTTTATATTAGAACGTTGTTTTTTGGAAGCTGGTTGAAATAATTCAGAATCGGAATATTCTATTTCATCAATTTGTTCTTGTTCATCTTCAATATTTCGGTCATTACTAGAAGGTTTAATGATATTTTTTCCCTTTGAAGTTTCAGCGTGACTGTTCATTTTTATTTAAACTAAAAGTCGCGATCGAAGTTTAATTACTAATCGAAGATCAATCAACCAAATTAACTAAATTTATTTTAAAGTTGTGTAACAACCTTATTTGTATTTATTTAAAAATTTGTTAACACGCCCATTTTTTTAAAAAAAAATTACATTTAATAAAAAATTGTTACACACATAAAAAAAAATTTCTAATTTACTATTTAATGGATAATCACGTTGTATTGTATAAATATTAACTCTAAATAATTAAAAATAATTTTAAATAAAGATTGACTCGAGTTAACTCATATTCGAATCAACTCGAATTATAAACATATAAACTCGAGTCTATAAAAAAATGACTCGAGTTAGAAATTGACTCGAGTTTACTCGAGTTACACGAGTGCGAGTCCAATCTCTACCGCCTGCCTATGACTGTAGTTCATCCTAAGATCCAGAAAATCGGTACCGAATTTTTATTGGCTTTTATCGCTAGGTTATTACGAAAAATCCAATTTCAATATGTGGCTTAGATTAATCAGTTTACCCTGCATAAGGTTTAATCCGAAATGAGAACGGCCTGTATGTCCGAAGGTAACAATCCTTTATGCAGAATTACATCACGTAACGAATGTATAATAACCTTACGACCGAAAAAATTTCCTGATATAGGTTATAATAGTATGTAAATAATACGGATATATTTATTTTTTTACAAATTATAGAACAAGTTAATGAGAAATTTGGGTCTTTGTTGTTTTTCTTATACTAGTTATAGAGATTCCTAAAGTGGACAAGAATTTTTTACTCCGGAAAATCTATCCCCTCTATCCCCTTATAAACAAAAGTACCAATTAGGAAGTATTCAGGGTTTTATTTTGAAATAATTGGGTACGGAAAATCGAGGATGATTTATGGATTGTTGGCCAAATAAGTGCATAATGATATTTGACCAATCACTTTTCCTCACGCAACTCTTATTTAGCGATGGATGGTTATTCAACTTTTCTACCCTGCATCCAACATTTTTCTCCTCATTATATAAAGTGGTTCTTTCTTTTATTTTCTTCATTTGCTGTCTTACTTAGCACCTCATAATAAAGCAACCATCCAACCTTTAATACACTCACTTTTATAACATTAACCAAACCTTTCCCTCTTTCATTTACAAATAAATTACCAAAATGTTGACTTCTACAAGAACACTTATTGATAATAGTTCTGGCTTTGGTCCAAGCTTATTTCAAGTTATTAATGGTACAGAGGCCTACCAACTACCAAATACAACGTTAGAAATCCCAGCACCAGAATCATTTTGCTTGCCTCCTATATACGAATTAGACATTTCGGTTCCGCACTTTGTATTGAGGCGTCGTAACGCAATAGTAGAAGCTGTATTGGAAACTCCACTCGTTTTCTAAAAACTTCTTTCATATGGTAGGTTTTATTATTTTGAACCTTTATTAAAAACTAAGAACTAATTAAATGACGTTTATTACTAATTTAGAAATTTCAATTATATATTATTATATATGATAATATAAACATTGACCAAAAAAGAAAAAAAAAATTTCAAAATTCGAAAATTCAAAAAAAAAAAATGATTTATTTATTATATTAAAGGCGTATATACTTATAGAATTTCCTTTAATTTTTCTAATCATATAATTCCGCTGTTAATATTTTCCAAATTTTATCTCTTATTACGTTTGTTAAATATATGTAATATCAATTAACTATAGAAGTACATAGTTCTTTATTTTTTTCTTATTTCCTATTAGGACTAACTATTTTACTTTACATTAGTTATATTCAATTTCAAATATTGATATTTCTTCTTTCATGACCTTTTTTTAAAATAATTCTTTAACTTCTTGATCTTTGTTAATTAAACGGCAGGCCGTCTTGATTAATGATTTTAAATCATTCTTGATCGAATTTCTAAAAGAACAAATAAAGATTGAATTGTGATTTTAGGATAAAGAGCTACAATTAAAATCTATTGATTGATTAAATTCGAATGGACCTGTTCGTGATAAAATGGGTCGTTTGCTATTAAACTAGGTTACAGAGACAGTAAATCATATGCCTGAAAATAAAATAACTCGACTTAACAACTCTTTTATTTTGTTGCATATCGGGAAACTTTGTTTTAAACTTATGTTCTACAGTATATCTTGATTATTATTAAGTTATTAAGCATAACTTTCAATTGCCTCAAAAAGATTTTTATTATAATAAACTAAATTACTATGGCAGACATTAAGTGATTTTACGACATGTTAAACTCTTCAATATTTTGTTTTAATTTATAACGTAACATAAGAAAAAATATTCTTTTTTCTTTAGAAATAATAAAGTATCGGTATGATTAAAAATAAAATTATTATTATTATTATTTTTTTTTTTTTGTACTTGTTCCATTAATCCATCTTTTCAATTAGACAATGTCCATTACAAGATAGAAATGGGCTGAATGATGCGAAAAACGCGGCGTCACCCTGCCAGTTTGGGTCATTACCATTACAATATCTGTGATAGACGGATTCAAATCCTTCCATAAACTTTCGGATCATTGTCTCTTTGTTGTCCTCTTGGTCCTTTAGTTCTTCAGAACCTGTAGAAGTATTAAATATTACGTTAACGAAGTAATGTTGATAAACTGAGTTTTGGGTTATTGTAAAAAAATTTTTACCCTTGGCCCTATTATCATTGTTTATTGTTTCTGTCACCTTATTCACGCTTTCCATTACTCCTTCAACTTTAATCTTTTTCTTTGAAGAACAAATCTCTCCTCTTCTTAGTTGAACTTCTGCTTCAATATTATTATTTTTAGGTCGTTGTAACTTCACTCGCGCTGCGCTTCCATTTTTATTGTGGGTGGAAAGTTTTGTGGCGTTGGTGTTTGGCGTTATTTCATTTTCATCTGACCTTGCTCTTTTGTAAGAGTTCTTTGTTTCATTACCTGGAGGTTTGAAATGTCCACTTACGAAGTAACGTTCGTATAAAGGATCGACTGTCCAATATCCCCCCTTTCCGGTGGCTCCTTCGGCACGTGAGGCCCTAACAAATGCTGCATTCAAGGAGAGATTGTGTCGAATTGAATTCTATATATATTATAAAAAAAATAATATATATACAGTATATATATATATACACATATATACACATATATATATTTATAAATAAAGTAAAATAAATAAATTCATCATCAATAAATAAATGAATGAACTACCTTCCAACCTTGTTGATTTCTCTTAAAGAATGGATAAGTGGTGCTTATCCATTCATATATCTCTGATAAGGTGGATTTCTTTACAGGCGATGCAAAGATCGCTTGACAGATCATTGAGGCGTACGAATAGTCTGGTTTTGGTGAAATTATTTCATCTCCCGTACCTGTCATTTTGTTGGTCGTTTGCATTAGGACTTGTGAAGATCCCTGAACAACAAACCCTCTTGTTCCCTCTAACCTAGGCAATAATATCTTGTTGCCGCTTTTCATCATTTTGATTCCCTCATCGTCAAGGGTTTTGAGTTGTGCATGTCCAGGTACAAAATAACTTGGTCTTATTAAAGGCATTGACTCCTGTGATTCTTCTGCTGACATAAAATTCATCTTGCTTGTTTCTGCATTTGAAATTTCGGAGTTTTTACCATTCGAGGTACTTGTAGGAGAATGTAAAGTGATCTGTTTCAAGGTACTATTCATAGTGTATTGTGCATTATAGTTATTCATATTTTCATCATCATTAACAGGATTCTTGACTTTAATGGTAGCCGTTTGAACCTTTGGAGTTTGAATTTTAATGTTATTAATGTTCATTGTTCAAAAAAAAAAGTATTATATTATCTTGGCAAATTTAATTATATATATATATTTTTTTTTTAAAAAAAAAAGACTTTGCGAGACCCAAGGGTTTATATATATAATGGTGTAAGATAAAAAAAAACAAATGCGGGGGTAAGAAAAAAACGCGGGGAGGGGTTTTCAAAAGATCAAGAGTTTGTTTACAAAATTTGCCTCGTAACTAAAAATAGTAATCACGTTCTCAAGCTTTGCTGAAATTGGTAAAATCATCCATTTTTGGGATAAATCACCAATTTCAAATATTTCAAACGCGAAAAAAAAAAAAAAAAAAAATAACGCGTTAATTAATTAGGTCACTAACAAACTATCTCCCGGCAAGTTTCCCGTTACACGAGTACATAAGATACAGAAAAATATTTTAATAGACGCGACTAATTGTAACACGAAATCTAATTATAGGAGACCAACCATTAATTCTCACGTGATCTCTGATATTTCCGCAAGCTTTCGGGGGTATTTAAAAAAAAAACCCGATTTTTGAATATCAGTTGGAATTAGAAATTAAATCATCATGGATCCTACGTCTCGTTCACCACCTATAGAACTACAAGATCTTTCTGTTCATTCCGGTTACTCTCAACAACGTCCACCTCCCGTGAACGCACATCAATTACCTCAATTACATATGGTCTCACCTTATCGTCCACTTCTTCCTTCCGGTTGGACTGAACATCGTGCACCAAATGGCATGTTTTACTATTATAACGCTGCAACAGGTCAAAGTACTTGGGAGAGGCCTATAATGGTTCCTCCTCCTCCCCCGATCGGTCCACCTCCTGGAACTTTGCCACATTCATTTCAACCGGTCCCGGGAATGATGTCAATGCAAAATGTGCAGCCACAGCAACAAAAGGAGAAGAGAAAAGAGAAAAAGAAAAAAGAAAAGGCAAAGGGAAAGTCAGTATATTATCTGGATCTTTTTCGTTATTGCTTCATTGCATAATTTTTATCAAAATTTATAACCTTTATCAAATGTTTAGGAGACAAATTCCGGATACAAAATGGTTCATTGTTTCTACAACAGAAAGTAGAGAGTTTTTTTATAATTCTGAAACTAAAAAATCTGTTTGGGAAGTTCCCGAAGAAATTGAAGAAGCTGTCAAGAATTTTAAAGAGCAAGAAGAAAAGGATGCTCAAAGATCAAATGAAAGTTCAGGATTAAAAAGGAAGGCAAATGATGAGGAAGTAACTGGTAGCGAGGAATTTAAAAGGGCAAAAGGAAGCACGGATGGTGGTGAAATTGAAGGAACCGAGTTAGTATCTTGTCATTTATCCTTTATTTATCGTTTGAATATGGAACATTTTACATATAAATCTCATTTCAAAACTTTCTAGATTTACAGAAGATGATATTGCCTTCCAACTTCAATTCATGGAAGAGCAAGAACATCAAGAATCTACGGATGATGATTCAGAAGATCATGATGATGATCATGAGTATACGGGTGAAGAGGAAAATTCCCTATTAAAGAAGAGGGATAAAGGAAAAGAAGTAGAATTATCCTCTGAGGAACGCGTACTTATGTTTAAGGTAAAAACAAAAAATTCTCGGATATAAATTTTTTGAATTGAAAGATAATAGTCTATTTTTTTTTACATTTTTAGAGCTTACTTAAAGATATGGAAGTTTCCCCATTTGCCACTTGGGACAAAGAACTTCCAAGAATCATCCATGATGAAAGATATAAATGTAAGACAATAGCAAATATGACATTTAAAGAGAGCATGTTTTAAAACTAATACTTCTTATCTTGATAATCTTAAAGTAATACCGACTCTGAAACAAAAAATGGAAATATTTGATGAATACTGCAAAGAACGTGTAATAGAAATAAGGTCAGAAAAGAAAAACAAGGCAAGAATGAATAAATATTTTATCATGATATATTATAATTTTATCTATCTCATATTATAGTGAATGAATGTTAATGCTTATGAACATTTCATTAGAATTTATCTGCGAAAGATGAGTATCTAAAATTACTAGAAGAAGAAACTACCTATCGTTCTCATTGGGACACCTTTAGGAGAAAGTTTAAACGTGATTCAAGGTTTAAAAGTTTTTCTGACGATAAAGAAAAGGAAAAGATATTCAGAGTGCATGTCAAAGAATTGAAAGAAAAAGAAACCGAACGTAAGAATTTTTACTTATGCATTTCATAGTCTGCTTGTTTTGCCATATGTTTATATTTCATTTGATATGTTTTATTCTTCCGTTAACCAGGTAAGAGGGAACACCAAAAAAAAGCCGGAGAAGACTTTATAAGGTTATTGAAAGAGACAAGGGAGATAAAATATGACTCTAGTTGGCGAAAGGTATAAATTAGATAAACTTTTTAGTAGGATAGGGATTTCATTTTCAGACATGTTAATTGTTATCTTATTATTATTCACAGGTTAAACGAATAATTGATCATGATACAAGGTATCATGCTGTAGAATCTTCTATGACGCGAGAAGGTTTATTTAGAGATTATTGCAGAAAACTGGAAGTTGAAGATGAAGAAGAGTTGATTAGGAGGGAGAATGAACGCAGACAGAGAGATCGTAAAGCAAGGTATGAGTTTATTGCACCGTAATTACCTTTTTTTTATTTGAAATTTGTCGCTATAGAAGTTTTTATTAAAAAAAATAGTAAAATATTCCTCTATATTATTAAGAGAGGAGACAAGCTTGAGAAATCGAGAAGCTCAAGTTAGATGGGAGAAGAAGATTCAAAATCGCGAAAAAGATAATGCAAAAAATAATATCATGCGCGTGGAATCAATACGCGAATTTCAAACACTTTTGATAGATTTAGTACGAACTCATGAGGTAATTGAATAATATATAACCAATTACTATTTCGAAATTCTTTCTGATTAACTTAAACCGTTTAAAATTTTCTAGACTACTTTTGAATTGAAGAAGCCCGATTTACAGAGGGATTCGCGTTTTCATGGATCTGGTCTCGAAGACAAAGATAAAGAGAGATTATTTCAAGAACATATTAATGATATCTATCAAAAGCGATTGAAATCATATTATCAGCTACTTGACCAACATGTTCAGCTAGATACTACCTGGTTAGAGATCCAGTCAGTAATCAAGGATGATTTACGTTCTGTACGACTTTCGAAGGATGAGTCGTTATTAGAAAAATTATTTGATAGTTATTTGGCTGAAAGGATTGAATTGTCTAAAAAAGAATTTATGGAACTTTTGCGAGAAAACCAATTTGTTGAATATAGAACGCGAATGGTTAAATTATCGGAGGATGGCGCAATTGATGAGACTGGAGCTAGTAAAGAAAAAGCACGTGCATTATCTATAGAAGAAATCCATGATGTACTTAAGGTATATTAATTTCCAAATACATTATCTTTGCGAATTTATCCTTTCTTTAACAATATGATTGATTGATTTATAGGAAGATAAACGTTATCTTGTATTAAATTCTATGCCGGATATCCGTAACGAACTGATTACGGATTATTTAGATAAATTGGAAACGCCAAAAATGACGGTGCATCAAGGTCGAGAATAACATTGTAAAATAGATAGTATTAAATTAACTTTATTTACAAATAAATAGTAGGTCTACCAATAACGATAAATTAACATTCGGATATTCTGAATTCTTTCTCGCAAAAATTTTCTATTATAAATTAAAAAAAAAAAAATCTTTTTCTATTTTGAAAATAAAACAAAAATGTCTGTAAAATGATCTATTTCTTTAGTATAACCAGAATTTTTATCAGTCACTTTTAAACCACCAACTCTTTGCAACCCGGGACTTAATGGGAAAAATTCTAAATAAAATTCTACAAAAGAATCTGATGATAATTCACCCAAATTCGTTACAGAAGGACCACTAAGTAATACGGAACCCATTTTAGTTTTAACTGCCGTTATCACAACTTTTAAAGTAGATGATGTTCGATTCCTTATTCGACATCCTAATTTAAATGGAACCTCAAGTTCTATCAAAGGTGGAACGGATGTTACGGAAAGTTCAATTTCATCCAACGCCGGAGGTCTACGTGTCAATTGGCTTGTTTGTAATCGCCCAGTTTCACCATGACTTGAACGCCAAACAATATCAAGTTTTCCAAGAACATTTGTCGTCCTACCAAGTTTATCTTCTACCTCGGGTTTTGGGGTTAACATATATAAGTATTGACGAATATCTTGCGGGTTTAAATAACTGTCCTTTCCAAAAATACTTTCTAATGATACCTTTGTTGACTTGACATCCTCTGAATTCAATAGATTTTTTTTAACGTTCAAATCTTCATTATTTTGTTGTTCAATATTTTCAGTATCTTCAATATTAGATTCTTTATTCGTTTCCTCATTAAGATTTCCATTAACATTTACAAGTCCTTTCTCATTTATTTCTTCATCGGATATCACATAATTTAAATCTTGATAATTAAATACATCACCAGGTTCAAATCCCATCTTCTCCAAATACATTAATCTTTCTGCTACGTTTTGAATCTGAACTTCCAGAAACACCGTTCCATCTCCCATATTATTAACTTTAGTTTTTACTGCGAAAGGATTCAAAACTCGAAATCTAAAAAATTTTCTAAAGCTCCTAACCCCTTCATCTGTTGTATATTGAACCATACATACTAAATTATGTATACCCAACTCTTTGATCTCATGTCTTATCACAAATTCACATGCTTTATGTGGTTCAGCAATTGGAATCGGTTTGGAAGAAGTATCCGCCAACTGTAACCGTTGTGATTTCGTTTGAAGTTCTGCCTTAATACAGATATTACGTGCAACAAAGGTTGAATCATTGTTTACTATAAGGTAACTATCAAAAGTTGCACCTAAATAAATATTATCTATCGCGTTAGAAGTTATTGAGGATGAAGACAAAAATTCGCTTTCGCTAAGGTCACGCATGTAAATTCTTGAAGTTGACACTTTCGAATCCAAGGTTTCCACCTGTGAGCTCTTTCCGGCTTCTTTGCTTGTTAAAGAATTTGATTGTCTCATAACCCTTAGCGATAACCAATGTTGTGGCTCGCGTGGGTGATCTATAATAATGTTGGTATTACCGCTAATTGCAGACATTGTGACTTGAGAAACAAAAATAAATTGGGTACGAAAATAAAGTTTCAATTTATAGATCAAATAAATTAAATAAAAAAAGTAAGAGTTTGTGAAACTTTAGTAAGTGAACACGAGTATAATAATATTCTCCCGGGAAAATTTCCTACAAATAGATTTTCTATCGAGATTATATATTTTTTTAATATTTCAAGATTCCGCTATGGAAGAAGAATCAGTCATTGCACCAGAAGTGAAGAAGAATGAAGAAGTTGATAGTGAAGGGAATCCACTTTCTAAGAAGGCTCTCAAAAAGTTAGAAAAAGAGCGTGAAAAAGAGCGAAAGAAATCAGAACGTGCAGTCAAGGAAGCGGCTGAAAAGGCTGCACGTGAGGCCTCTGATGTAAATAAAAGTTATCAATTCTTATCATTTTCTCAGAAATTAATTATTAAAGCTTCCTATTTTATTAGAATTATGGTTCTGAAAACTATGGAAAACTGTCCATGAACCAATCACGGGAAAGGACCGGTAAGAACAGTATTTCGGTCTAATGTTATTCAAATAAACTAACATTTTTTGCGTTTTTTTTAGGTGTTCAGAGAAATCGTATTGCTGACATCAATGCAACTCGTGATGGTGAAACTGTGACAATTCGGGCCCGTATTCATACTTCACGCAGTAATAGTGTGTAAAAACTTTATCATGTTCATGTTGAATAAAACGAAATTGCTGAACACTAATCAACATATCCGATTTAATAGGCGCTAGGCTTGCTTTTTTTGTCTTTAGGCAACAAGATGCCACGATTCAAGGAGTACTTACTGTAGATGAAAAAAATATAAGCAAAACATTTGTTAAATTTGCTGCTGGGTAAAATATCAGTTTTATTTTTGATTTAACGTTTTTAATAATGGTTAAGTCAATAAATTATTTATACACGCGTAATTAGCGTTCCTGTCGAATCGATCGTTCTTGTTGAGGGCACTATCAGTAAACCAGCCGAAGAAATCAAAAGCACATCAATATGTGATGCGGAGTTACGCATCAAAAAAGTAAGACATTAAATTTCTATAGAATATACACATATATATATTTGTTTTATAACTATTTCTTCTTTTGATGTTAAGTTTTACGTAGAGAGTGAAATTATTGGACGACTTCCGTTTTCCTTGGAAGATGCCTCAAGATCTGAGGAGGAATTCAAAAAAGTAATATTTTCGTTTGATATTGACGGTTACAATATAGCAATTTAACTAATTATCGTTTTTGATAACTTCGTTAGGATGATGTGCAGTTCAGTCGTGTAACGCTAGAAACACGTTTGAATCATCGCGTTGTTGACCTTAGAGTAAGCTAAATCACCATTAATTTTGTTTTAATCACAAAATTGTATTTTTTACTAAGCTTACATAAAAAAAATATAAATTATTTTTAAAAAAAAAAATTTTTTAGACTCATGCAAATCATGCAACCTTTCGACTTCAATCCGGAGTTTGTCAATTGTTTCGTGAATATCTTTTGTCGAAATCTTTTATTGAGATACATACACCTAAATTATGTGCTGCTGCAAGTGAAGGCGGTGCGAATGTGTTTAAGGTTAAATATTTCAAAGGTAAGAGTTACCAGATGTATAAATATTTATATAATTTAATCATAATAAAACTTATTCTTCTTGTATATATAATTAATTTTAGGTGATGCGTATTTGGCACAGTCTCCTCAATTGTATAAACAAATGTGTATATGCTCCGATTTTGAACGAGTATTTGAAATAGCTCCCGGTATGCAAATGAAATTTTTTTAGATGGTGATTGATAATTGATCAAAGTAACAATAATTTAATTATTCCGATCTTTACAGTTTTTCGTGCCGAGAACGCCAACACTCATCGACATATGACAGAATTCGTTGGACTTGATTTGGAAATGGCACTTGATGAACATTATCATGAAGTGATTGATATATTGGATGAACTTTTTGTTTATATTTTTAACGGATTAAAATCTCGATTTTCCTCTGAAATCGAGACTGTGAAGAAACAGTATCCTTGTGCAGATTTTGAATTTCACCCAAAAACGCTGAGATTGGAATACAAGGATGCTGTCAAACTTTTGAGAGAGAACGGTACCGAAATAGGGGACTTTGAAGATCTTAGGTATTTTATCTTTGATATTTTGAAATCAAATATAATTTTTTTGAAAATTAACCTTTATATACCATTTTGACAATAATATAGTACCGAGAAAGAAAAATTTCTTGGTAAACTAGTTAAAGAGAAATACCACACAGACTTTTATGTACTCGATAAATTTCCATTAGAAGTTCGACCATTTTATACTATGCCAGACCCAACTGATAACGTATGTTTCATTCATTATACAGCGATCGTTTATAAATTTTTAACTAATACACACATGTATATTATTATTAGAAATATTCAAATTCGTTTGACTTTTTCATGCGTGGGCAAGAAATTCTTTCTGGAGCGCAACGTATTCATGACCCAGTGTTTTTAGAAGAACGTGCCAAGGCGCACGGTATTGAATTATCAACCATACAATCATACATTGACTCCTTCAAAAGAGGAGCTCCACCACATGCAGGTGGTGGTGTCGGTAAGTGGTTATAAAATTCAAAGGTTATAGTGTAAATTTTGACTTTTTTTGATATTGCAATTGGTTAAATCAAATTTTTTTTGATTAATAAATAGGCTTGGAGCGTGTAATCATGCTTTTCTTAAACTTGGATGATATACGTAGAAGTTCACTATTCCCACGCGATCCAAAACGTCTCGAGCCATAAATTAATTAATTATCAAATAATCGAATTATTGACTTTTGATTGTAAATTAAAGTTCATTCAACCAAAAAAAAAAAAAACTTAAAATTAATTTTCCTTTGTTTTATGATTATTGAAATAACTAATACAAATGAAAGTAATTATGAAATCCCGTTTTGAATTTAACTCTATTAACATTTTCTCATCAACTAAAAAAAATTTCCAATCAAAATAAAGAACCTTCTGGAGGTTGAGGTAATTTCTTATTAACTGGATTGGCCATTTCCCTATAAAGTTATTATTATTTTTAAATAATATTAGATGGTCCAAAAGCAATATTGATACGTGATTAGTTATATTGTTGGAATTTCAATGCATTGATAAAAAGATAAGAAACCAATATATTACCGACGTAGTTCTAACAAAATGTCTTCGAGGCTATTAGAACTTTTCCACTGAGCCAAACAACTTAACCTGGAATGTTCGACCTGTTAAAAGGATTACATTAATAATTCTTCGATTTTTGTGACATCTCGTAATACGATTGATATGACTCACCTTTCCCGTATGTTGATTAACACATGGTAGATTGATTCGTGAAATGAAATGGACAATTGGTGGACTTTCGGGATAATTCTCGTCACAATAAAGTTTCAAACTATAAATGCGATTCTCATGAATGGTCTTGATAACCGATCGATAAACACAAACATATGTTTAGTAAAATTTACAAGATAGATAAACCAATACCAATTTGATTGTAATTTTATGGCTTACTCCAGCAGGTCCTATGATCGTGCCATTCCAATTACTCATATATATATCCTCGCCGTTTGAAAGACCGTAACTACAAGTACCATCTCCGAGCCCCTTTTCACCCTTTTCGAGTTCTTCAAGTAGTTTAAAATTGCGTGGAACTAAATAGAACGAATGGTTAGTACAAAGAAACAATATGATAAAATTTTCTTCAAATAAACCAAATAAAACTATTCGTTATTTTATCCTACTATCATTTGAAGTTATAACTCCGAACGCTTAAAACGAACTTAAAAAAGTTATAAAGTTGCTGCTTTGCAACTTTGGTAGACTTGTTTCTTTTACATAAATTATTTTAAAACTATGATATTATTCTTTATCTTTTTTAATTAAAGAATCTAAAGGTACCTTTGGCCATTTGACAATATTAATAAAAAAAAACGAAGACGATTGGCGTTTCAAAGAGTTGATAAGAAAATGTTCAAATATCTCCTTTCGAATTTCGTTAAATGCATATATCGAGGATCGACATCTGCAAATCACAATGAAATACGTTTTTCTGCAAAATTCAAATAGTACCCCCTCCCCTGTATCAGTCTTAGTTATACTATGTAAATCGTCGCGATAAGGATTTTTGATGATTTTGATGATTTACTTTGCCATTGGACAATTCATCAGTTCATCTCAAGGATATTTTATAGAATTTAGAATCTTTAGAATATTATATTTCATAAATAAATTAACTGTTAATTGGATTATTTATTTTTGAACAATATTTAAATAAATAATAAAGTTTTTTATTAGTCCGGAGCGAAATGCTTCGGAAGCACTTGATGCAGCCAATTAAATTTATGATTATAATTGGTTAATAACGATGTTCATCTAAATCGGCCTAATTTATGTATGGTACGAACTTACAAAATATTTCTTACGGTAAAAACTACTTCAATAAAGAAATAATGAATTTTCCAAAAGTATTTTCCGACGAAACCAGAAGAATACTTAATGTATGGAATAACAAGATTCAAGGACGATGATGAAGTTGTTTTTGATAGCGATCCTTTATTGATTATCGAATACAATCAACCGGGTCTTGCAAGCCGTAATATCACAGAAAATCATGTTGTCTCAGGTATAACCATTAATATAAAAATATTTATAATCTTTTTCAAGAAATTTTATCAGAGGAACACCTGGTTACGTTCCTATTGCATTTTCAAATTTTAATCAGGCGTCACAATCCAATTCGGTAATCACGTTTAATCATATGCAAACATTGGATAATGCTATAGTACGATTATATATGAGTTATAATAACCATTTGTTAGGACGACAAGATCCTATAGTTGGACGAGTAAATGTGGTGATATTTGCAAAGGCAAACAAATTTGAAGTATCGGAATGAAAACGCGTTTTTAATTGATATATAAATCATTGTTTTGCTTTTCGATCTTTAAATGGATGTTAGCTTTTATTCATTTCAGTATCTTTTTGCGTTATATATTTGTAATTTGTAATTCTAGTAAATAACTACAACAAAATTATTTTTGCTGAATAAATAATTACCTGATTAATAAACCATAAAAGTAATTGATGTTTTAGGATGATTCAGTATCAAAATTATTTTCGCCATCAATTGTTTCAAAGATTTCTGGTTTTTCAACGCTAATATATGGGATTACGGATATGATTTACTATATCTCGTGACTTGATTTTACTGGCATTATGTCAAGCTAATAGGATGTTTAGAGGTTTATAAAAAAAAACTAGGATTACGAAATGAAGAAGATATTAACTTTAGATATAAATTTTCAAAATTAATATTTTATATGTATGGAAGGAACTAAGGATCTCATGTTTAGCCTTCTATGCATGAAAATATTTATAATTCTTAAAAGGTCAGTTTGATTTTTCTTATACAGGATTGATCCATTATGGAAAAGCCCAGTAGATCTATTAGATCCATTAGGTTTATTAAATTATTATAGATATAATTAATTAATTATAACTAGCTAGTACTGAATTTCTCTGAGAAAATCACAATATCACCAAAATTATTTCACTTCTACATGATCTTAATAATTTGTTATACAGAATCACAATTTACATATAAATAGATAGTTGGTTTATGTTTTGCCATTTGTTAGTAAATCATCAACACACTAATAGTTGCACAAATATTACCTGAAGAATATAATAAAAATCAGCAAAATTTTTTATCATATGAAAAGATTGCTAGAAAAATCAGGTTCTAAAAATTTTTTAATAAAATTTTATTTTTATTGCATTTTAATTTTTGATAGTATTAAATTAAAATGCAAAGCTAAATTTTATTAAAAAAATTCTTAGAACCTGATTTTTCTAGCAATCTACTCATATTTTTTATTAACGAACTGAATATAATAATTCTTTAATATCCTTCGCTTTTTATTTTATTTTATTATTTATTCTAAGAATAAAGAATTTTTCATTAATTAGATTTAATTAGCAAAAAAATAATAAATCCAAAAAATTGTCTGATCCTCATTCACAATTTAGTAAATATTTTAACTAATAAAACAGAATCAAATCAAACATAGATTAAAAATAAATTGAATTATAATATGGGGTGAGTGCTGGGAAAAAGGACCAAATCGACAAAAAATTTTTTTTTGAAATAACAAATGATCTGAATCA